CGGCCTCCCCTTTCTCAGAGACATACACTAGGTACATACCCTCCTCTTGGTTCTGTTTGTAATAGTTATAGAACGCTGATGCACACAAGCAGCCATAGGTATCTATAATGCTACTGGCTTTCTGACTTTTCTGCCATCGGGCAACTTATGTTTTAGCACCTTCTTGTCCCAGTCGAACTGGGGTTTGGCAACCTCAAGGTAGTACATGCCTAACAACATGTCGAATGGTAAGTCGTCGCTAACAAGGAACGAAATCTTATGATTAAGTTCCCCTCCTCCATAGGAGAAGGTACAGACTACGTCCTTCTGTGACTATCATGCGCTCCTTATTGGCCAAAGTAGATGCTACGGGTTTACTAAGGTGTCGTACCCGGTCCTGTAGGTGCAGCCTTTCCAAACAGTCGCGACTTATATAATTCTGCGTGGATCCGATGTCTATGAAGGCACCACATTTGCGGCCTCCTACATCCACTTCCACCACGAAATCTTCCCCTCTAGGACCTTTATTTAGTGCCACCCAAGATTCGCGAGGGTCCTTGCTTGACCACTCCCTTTCCAGAGCTTCTAAGGCTTCAGACACATCTAACGTACAGAGCATAGTTTGGTCTAGATGAGTCTGCGGGGTGACTAAAGAGTCATTAGCTATGGCCATCTCATGAAGTGGGGAGGGTATCTGTCCCACTTCACCATGAGTAGAAGCAACTAAAATTTCCACTGGCCTCACGTGTTACCCGAGCTAGAAGCCTGGGAAGAAGATGCCCCCATCTTAGGGGGTATCTTTTGCGTGACCTTTGCGTTCTTGCACTTGTACTGGGTGTGTCCGTATTCACCACAGTGTATACAAGCGCCACGCACTCGGCGGTCCCGCCACACGTCTTGATCAAGACCTGCCTTAACCCAATCAGCCACTTTAGTCTGATTGGAGGCGGCCTTCCCTTGACTCTTTGGATGGCCCTTCCCTCGGCCACCCGCCTTAGCCTTCACTACTGCGGCGAGGGTGCTACCCTCAGCGATCTCCTCGTCGTCGTACTCTGAAGCGGGTTGTTGTAGTTTATACCGGGAACGTCGTCGTACAAGTTTCTGAGATTCTCTGGTAGACATCTCACAAACGTGGTCAATAGGAACGGGTTGTTGTAGTTTATACCGGGAACGACGATAAGGCTCTCTATGGTAGTCGTAAGCTCCCTGACTGACTTGAACTTTCGTTGGTCTAGTCTGTTTATCGCATCAGTGGTCATTTGTGACTGCTGAGGATTGTGCCATCGAGCTTCTACCATTTCCATGAATTGATCTAACGTAATTGTCCTAGCCCAGTCCGCCATGCATCGTCCGTACCCAGCCTTTGTCACTACACCATCCAGCCATTTGGTTGCCTTACCCTCGAGGTAAGATGCAGCAGTAATCACCTCCTCCTCCTGCAAAGTCCTTTTTGCCTTCACCTAAACCGAAACTGTTCTCAACCAAGTGTTGAGCTTTTCGTCCTTCTTCTCGCCCGAAAAGGCAAGAGGCGGTTTCATAGGAGTCTCAGGGTACCAAAGACCTTGCGGCTGTCCCTGTGGAGGAACAGGTTATTGCAGTGGTGTAGCTCCCACCGCTGGACCCGAAGAAGAAGAAGAAGCAACAGTCTGTGAGACTGCTGCAGACGTGCCACTTGGTTGTGTGCTAGCTTGTACGGGACAGGGGCCAGACATCGCCGTTAACGGCAACGGCGACTGTGTTGGTGGCCTGAATCCTGGCCTTTGCAAAATATCCACGATCTGGTCTAGGGTGTTCTGCATAAAGTCCAATCGGTTGTCCTCGTGCGCATGCAGTGACAGCATATTGTTCTTCAATACTTTCATTGAGACAGACAGTCCTGACTCATCCATACCCTCTAACTCAGCTTTGTCTGCCTCTAACGTTTCAAGCCTGGCTGTTCTATTTTTAATTTCTCTTTCTCTATCGGTTGCTTGTTTCAGTTCCCTCTCTAATCGTTCACGGATCCTTTCGACCTGTTGGAGCTCTAGAAGCTCCCTTTCACGTGGGGTCAACGGGCTGAACTGCGAGCCCGCCATTTGACTTATAGACTGTCGAGAACCTACTGCACTGGAAGTACCCGTGGACCTTGTGGGCATACCCAAATGGGTCCCTGACGAGGATACTGCGGACGATGCAGCAGAGGATGCCGCTGCGCTAGACATTGCTGCTACTCTGCCTGCTGCAGCAGCCTGCTCCCTAGCTGCTAGGTTCGCTGCTGCCCTCGCTGTTGCAAGAGCACGGGCTCTATGTTCGGCACGAAGCCGTGCTTCGTCTCCCGGTTGTAGGGTCTGGAACACGTGCGGGACCCTAAGTGCTCCCGAACGTGTAAGTCTCACATTGTCCTCTCTACCCTCATCGCTGTCTGATCCGCTCATGAGTTAGGCAAACACTATCTGCACTAGGACCCCCTAGTGGAGTCCTACCACAGCATGTGTCTGGCCGACACCTAATTTTCTAAAAATAAGTGTGTCCGGCAGATCCCCTACTTGACCGATCAAGTGGCAGCCTACAACATTCTCTAAAGACTGTCAACATGGTATTTGTTCTATATTGATTAGTTCACTTACAACAGCATTAGATAGAACTGGCTATGTTAGTATACAACAGTCCTACTCTAATCTGTCTGTGAGGTGTTAGCAATTGTCAACCAACTAATCAATAATAAAACAAAACCATGTTGCAGATGTATGATCAGTGGGTATGGTTGTGTATCCAGTTGAGCATCAATTAGAACCTACCCTCCCCTCAATCCAACATACCGAACAGCATCAATGAGCAGCGGTGTCTTCGTGTGTTTTCGGCCCACCCCTGTGCCCAAGTCGTTGCCGAGCAAGCCAGCCAGTCCACTCTTATTTACCCTCGTACGAAACGAGCCTTACACCCGGTTGATCTGGCTGATCAGGAGGAATTTTAAGAGCGCCCCCATCTCTTCAGGAATTATTTAACGTCGCAGTCATGACGACGATCACAACCAGATTCAATCCGAGTCCCCAACCAGAAATGTTTATAGACGATCTGGTAAGCGTCTCATAAAAGGCTGGCACACCCGGCAGGACTTCTACAGCGCAGCAAAGTGCCAAAATGAACAGCAGCCATCGCATGCGTGACCTACTCCCATTGGGTTGGCATGGTGACCGTGACCCAGTGCTTCGACCAGGGCCCTTCAGAGGCACCGCCCTTTCTCCTTCCAGATGCTTCCGGGAAGATTGTCGTCTCTCAAGGTAGCGCGCTCACGACACCTCACCAAAAGAGAGGACTCTCAAGTTGGACTCACTTCCTYACGGTAAGAAGCGATTGAGAGAGTAGATAAGGTAAGGGAACAACCTACCTAGAGATAGCTGCCCCCAACCACAGATTTCTCACCAATTGAGCTGAGTGTGCATTTGATGACCGGTTTTGGCCTCGGTACCACCAACAACGCAATGCAGTGCCACCTCAGCCGAATGCCACATCAGCATGCTCTCATCACCAATCATACATTCCGCCTGTCACCACAGCAATAAATGTCGTCTTAGCCTTCCGGCACACACCTCTCTACCCAGGCTGTGCGCCTAATATGGCCTGACGTCACAAGAACCAACTGCGAAGAAGCATCGTCAACGCACCAAGTCTGTAGAACGCCGGCCTGCCAAGGTAAGTGGCGAATCAAACCAGCTCTGATACCAACTTGCAAGGAACATGAATATGGATAAAGCACAAAAATCCAGATTACAAAATCACACTGAAGTCCAAGTAGCCAAAGCAAGAGCAGATAGCACAATGGAACCGAGTA